GGCTGTGGGACCCCTCGCCCCCCACCACCACCCATGTTGAAAACCAGTATCCATGGTCTAGGAGGAGCCAGCACCATGGGAGGTGAAGTTGGGGAGCGTTTTTAAAAGGCCATGTTATTTACAGTCATGGATTCGTAGACAGTTTCCTCTTTAGAAACGTGCGTTCTGTTTCATTGCCTTTTAGTGGAGATGCTTGCCGGTCCACACCCCCAGTCCCTAAAAACGCAGAGGACAAACATGACTCGGACGCACGGAGTCGCGCCTGCAGGCCTCTGCTCAGATTGCTTTGCCGTGGGAGGATTTCGAAGGCGGGCAGAGCTGCGGTGTGTGCGCTGGCCCCGTGGTGCCTGTTCACGGTGGCTAATGAAGGCGCTGGGCACTGCAGCCTGTTTGCACAGCTGCCTACTGGCAGCGGCTGCAGCTGGGGCGGCTTCCCTCGCACCGCGTCTGCCCCCAAGCTTCACCCTGCGGCCCAGGGGAGTCACCCCGCAGAGCGAGGCCACGGAGGGGGAGGGGCCGCTGGCGTGGGGGAGCCTTCCTGCAGGGCCACGGGCGGGGCAGTGGATCCTGCGCCCCAAGTGGCGTGCTGTTCATTTTCTGGAGGACTCGTGCTGCGGGCAGGGCCTGGCGCTCTGCACACTCGCCCCCGGCTTGATGGGTGTGACATCGTGCGTGTGAGAGGCTGACACTCCAGAGGGCATAGGGACAGGGCCTGCTCTGCCTCCCTCCAGACTTCTCGCTGTGCGCCCCTCTCGTTCTTCCCCAGCCGGAGGTTCGGGTGTGAGCAGGCCTCTGGAGCATCCTGGGAGGGGCTGGAGGGGCTTAGCTCCCATCTCCGTCTCCTCCTCAGAGAGCCCTGGGCAGGTGGTTGCCTTTGATGCTTATCTGGTTGGTTCCACACAGGAATGCAAAGTGTTGCGAAGGCTGGATTTCCATCTCAGGGCAGTGCAGGCCGGGGCAGGCTGTCAGGGAGGTGGCAGTGTGGTGCGGTCTGTGCCCCGGCCTGGAAGTGGGGCTGCCATCGCCAGACCTGCTCCGTGTGTCCCCCAGTTGTGAGAGGTCTGCCCGCATCTCTCTGCTGTGGGAAAGGCAGCCCGACGGCCGGCCAGCCGTGACGGGATCGACTCCGAAGGAGGCTGTGTCATCAGTGTTGTCACCGCACTCAGAACCGCCCACGGCCAAGAAGGACATGGATGACAGCTCTGTGTGGCTCAGGTCCCGAGACCAGCTGAGCCAGGTGGCTGCATGTGGTGGTGGGATGCAGAGGTCTCCTCTGGGCGCGCCCAGTGTGGGTTTGCTTGTATTCTTAGAGAGGGCATTTTCCAGGGTTACACTTGGTCACCAGACACCTAGACAGGGGGCAGTACTGGGCACGGAGAGTGCCCGGGTGCTTCCCAGACTGCACTGTCGGGGCCACTCTGATGACCAGGCCCTGTTGCTTCCGCCTCCTCCTCGCTGTCCGTGTAGATGCTTCTGGCTTCAGTGGGGACACCTGCAGGGCTTGTCCAGAGCCCACATTCAAGGCCCAGGCCTGGGACACGGTCCAGCTTGTGAGTGTTGATGCAAAGAACTCGGTCCCTGTAGTGTCCACAGAGCTGAGGAGCCAGCAGGAGGCACCGAGGGCCCAAACAGCAGGACAGGACCACCGATCTGGGACCCGCAGGACGATCTGCCTCATGCCTCAAGGTCTCAGGCAGATGTGTGTGCACCTCCTGCTTTCTCGAGACAAAGTCCCAGAGAAACCCAGCCCTTCCTCCAGCGCGTCCTGCCGTCTAATCAGATCTGTCGATAAACACGGGCAGATTCCAGTTTTTCTCCTCCCTGCTCTCACGTTCCAAGGTGGCCATTACCTGTTATCTGTGTGGGATTGTGTTCCCACCTCCCCGCCTGCAGCTGTAGGCGAACATTTTAATTAAAGGGCAGGAGGGCCAGGAGATAGCGGCGCTCCTGTGCCCGGGTCTCAGCGGGGGCGGCAGCGTTCAGGGGCGAATGATGCCGCGTCCCGGGGTTCACAGAGTATTGCTGCAAATCGTCCTGGCGCTTTGTCAGGCTTATCTCCACGTCCAGGGCGGAGGCGGGCCTCACACCCAGCTGGAGTCTTGGTGACTCTTCTGGCAGGAAGCCAATCAGACAAAACCCAGGGCACCGTCCCGCTCCCTCGGGTGGGAGTTTTCTCAGAAAGCTGAGTCAGCTTTCCCCTGGGGTCCTGCAGGGTAGAGTTTTCTCAGAGACCCTGGGTTCAGGCCTAAAATGTAGCTATGTGCCTTGGCTGGTTGCTCAGTGGTTAGAGCGCTGGCCTGCAGACCGAAGAGTCTCGGGTTCAATTCCCAGTCAAGGGCACATGCCTCGGTTGCAGGTTTGATCCCCAGCCCCAGGTTCAATCCCGGTCAGGGTGGATGTGGGAGGCAACCAATCGATGTGTCTCTCTCACACAGATATTTCTTTCTCTCCCTACCCCCTTCCTCCTTCTCTTCCACTCTGTCTCAAAATCAATGGGAAAAATATCCTTGGATGAGGATTAAAACAATAATAATAACAACGATGATGATGATAAAATGCAGCCACGGGGCAGATACACCTCTCAGAAGAGAGACAGGGCGGCCCCGAGACCTGAGTGGCCTTATTTATTGTTGGGGTCTGTTGGGTGTTCACAGCGGGCTCCCTCTCTCCTGCCCACACGCTCCCTCTCGTCCCACCCCGTCCTCCTCACCCTCACCTTAGCCCGGCCTTGCCCCTTACCTGCCTTCCGCCTCTGAGATCTTGTTCACATCCGTGTGCCAGTCATTGGCACTCGGTTGGCGCTGATAATCCACACTTGCCCGTGAATGGAGGCGGGAGGCTGGTTACCTACCGGGGTTTTCACGATGTCGGCGTCTGTAGGAGGTTTGCGGGATGGTGAGCACTTAGCCCGCAGGGAGGCCTTCGCAGCGTTGGCTCTGTGATGAGGACACTCTTCAGTGCTTTCCTGGCAGCCCGACCTCGGCATCAGAACAGGGGTGGCTGGCATTGACGTGGGCGTTAGCATTTAAATGGCTAAAACCTGAGTGAGCCTCCCCGCCCCCCACGCCTGCAGGGACGGCCTTTCTCCCCGCTCTGGAAGAAGTTAATGACATTTACGGGCCTGGATGAGCTCTGAAGCTTCATATTTCTGATTTTAATAGCATGTATTCATTTAATGGCAGAAGCCACAATCAAATCCAGGGAAGAGTGAATGAATAGGAAATCGATAACTGTGTGTGTGTGTGTGTGTGTGTGTGTGTGTGTGTATGCTGCACGCCCACATGCTTTTCCAGGCCTCAGGGCCTCATCTGCAAAATAAGATTTACACGGAAGGACACCTGTTTCCTTCAGGGATCAGAAGGGCTGTCTCGGGAAGGAAGCGGTGGGTGGGCCTTAGAGAAAGGTCACTTCAGGGAGAGTGCATTTTCCCTTTAGGCAGAGCGGAGAGAGTTGGACTAGGTGGCCTGTGATTTCTTCGATTCTGTGACTCTGCTCGGGTGAACACGGACATTCCCGTCACTGCGTGTGGAATACAATTTTGTGATTCCGTGGGAGTGGAGAGTGGGTCCTGCTTTTATGCCCTGAGGCGGCATGAACATTCTAGCCGCCAGCCAGCCCCACCCCTTGCTGCAAAGCCCTCATCCTCGGGAACGTGACGTTTAGATGTGTGCAATCCTTTCTAGATGACCGATGCCTTCACTGGCATCAGCCCATGTGCTCTTCTCAGCGGCCACGCGGGATGGTTGGTGTTGTCTCCGCATCACAGGCCAGGAGAGGGGAAACGGCTGAAGCAGGGTCCGGCCTGGAAGGCAGCCCTCGGTGCTGTTTCTACTTTGCACCACGGATGCCTCCTCTTAGCGAGGCTTGGTTTTCAGGAGGCTGAGCGTTGGCAGGAAACACTGCATGAAAAACAGAGAGTAGCATAGCTTTCTGGTCTAAGTCCCTAAGGAAAGCTATGCCGCGGCCCGTCCTGGCCCACTTCCTGTGATAGTACCTTCGTGGTGGGTCCTTGGTGGGGAGGGCGGGGCAGCCACACACAAGGGACGCACGGCTTGGCCTCCCCAGCACACTTGGACATGGAAGCTCGCGGTGCTGCCAGTACTGAGTGTGGGCGCCCTCCCGCTCCACCTCGTAGTTAACTGTTGGCAGTTCCTCTTCTCTGCTCCTGCCCTGTCCTCCCAGGGCCAACAGGTGATTGGTTATAGGTTGCGGGCCACTGGGGCGATCTAGCCGGCCTGGGGTAGACGGGTGGGTGGAAGGAAGAGGAGAAATCAGTGTTAACTCACGTCTGCAGCAGCTTCTCCACGTGTGCTCTGCCCCGTGCGGGTGTCGCTCTGACCTGTGGAGTAGGAGAGCCCAGCGTCCCTCACACGGGGCCAGTGGTTCTCAACCTTCCTGATGCCGCGACCCTTTAATACAGTTCCTCATGTTGTGGTGACCCCCAACTTCATTGTTACAAATTGAACATAATTAAAGCATAGTGATTAATCACAAAAACAATATGTAATTATATATGTGTTTTCCGATGGTCTTAGGCAACCCCTGTGAAAGGGTCGTTCGACCCCAAAGGGGTCGCGACCCACAGGTTGAGAACCGCTGCACAGGGCCATGAGGCCCGGGGACACTGCCCTTGGACCTGGGGAACCTGAAGCCATACCATGCTCTTCCCCCCCTTAGCTCTGAGGCCATCGGTAAATGTCTAGACCATTTTGAGGTCCTCAGTTTCCTCTTCCGTAAACTGGGGAGAATAGAAAAGTTCTGTGTGGCCGAAACTTACTCCTTTCTCAGCTACTGGCTGGATGGGTTATGGCTAATGTCACAGCCCGGGCGGGGCACGACCATAGGACTTGGTTTCCTCTCGAATCCTGGAGACAGAGGTGTGGAACCCGTAGCTTCTGTGCGGTTACCCCTGGGCACTGTGGTTTACCTGCTTCAGAAGAGGACCTGCTCATTCAACGAAGACGCTTTGCATTAATCTTGCCCCCCGCTCTTTTTTTCAGTATCCAGCGAGCAGCACTGGTGGTTCTGGAAAATTACTATAAGGATTTCACCATCTATAACCCCAACCTCCTAACAGCCTCCAAATTCCGAGCAGCCAAGCACATGGCGGGGCTGAAAGTCTACAATGTGGATGGTATGTGCCTGGAACGGTGGCTCTGGGGGTGTTGGGGGGGCAGTTGGGGCAACTTCCTGGCCCATCTGGTTCAACCTCCTCTCGGTGTTTGCCTTTGTGGTCCATTCTCATTTCAGAACAATCTCTCTCTCTCTCTCTCCCCCCACCCCCCTCTCTCCCCCAAACATTTTCTGAGGAATGTTGCTTTATGGTCTACATCTGTGGGAAGTTCATTCATTTTGGGATTTTTATGATTGAAAACAATGGTGATGTGTGTGTTTCCTGTCTCCTGCTGGGAACATCTTCCATTAAATAAAGCTATTAGGAAAGGGCTGCTTTTCAAAATGTGGATAAAGCACCCAAAGCAAAGACTCAGCCACCCAAATCCGTGAAGACTCTATAACTGTCAGTAGTTCAGGCCTCTGGCGAGACACTTAGGGCATTCCTCGGCCCTGGCCAGAAGCCGGAGTGAGCGGGTGGCGGAGGCCAGAGGCCAGGCTGGGACGCCAGCGCTCCTCCGGGCTATCAGATGCTTCGGCGCAAGAAACAGGACACGGTGTCATGTCTTGCTGGGCCGCTCGGGTCAGGGCAAGAGCTTTGCAAACCCTCCAAGAGGATCATGTTGTTAGCAAGTCAAGTGATTTATAGGTGGTGTCAGTTTCGGTGGTGATGTAACATCCTCCGCCTTTTTAAATGGTGCTTTATTATTATTTTTGGCTAATGAGATGTGCACGCTCTCACGAATCCTGAAGGATTGGTCCCTCTCGCCTGTGACCTGAAAACAGCGAAAATTCCCACTAGCAAAACTAGTCATCGACCACATAGGTGAAACACGAGAAAGCGTGAGGTGCCTTGTCTTCCTGACAAGTCGAGGCGGCCAGTGGTCAGAGGAGCGAGACCAGGACTTCTGAGTCCGGAGGAACACGCGGGCCGTTTCGAAAGTCCTCAAGCATCATGGGCTTTTCTGTGAAAGCTGTGCTGCCGTGAGATCACCGTGTTCCTGTGTGTGGTCGGTGTCACTTGTCCCTGGACTTCACTCTCTCTCTGTCCTGTCCTCCCCTCCCTCTCACTCTCCCTCCTTGTCCTGTTGCTGAACTGTGACGTTACGGCCGCCCTCGCGGCCAAGCGGGCCGTCCTGTAACAGATGGTAAGTAACATCTTCGCACTCTGTGTTATTGTTGGCCATCGTCTTAATTGCCGCGCATTCTTCATCTCCTTCCGAGCAGATTGGGCCTCGGGGAGGTTCCTTCCCCTCGTGAGCAGAGTGAAGAGAAGCGGGGGGACCGTCCCCCCTCGTGGGGAGTCGCTTTGGGGATCTGTGTCTGTGCTTCACGGGGGTGGATGGTCCCGACAGACTGTGGTTCCAGTGTTCTGCTCCGTTTTGCAGTCCCGTGGCATTAAAACTGCGTTTCCTGCACCATCTTTTCCCCAAAGGCCCCAGTAACAACGCCACTGGCCAGTCCCGGGCCATGATCGCCGCCGCCGCTCGGCGCAGGGACTCGAGCCACAACGAGCTGTATTACGAGGAGGCGGAACACGAGCGGCGGGTGAAGAAGCGGAGAGCGAGGTACAGCGTCCCCCTGAGTGTAATTTCACTCTGAACATGACCTGCGTGAGCCTCGGGAGTGATCGTGCCGGGGTGTTTCTCAAACTTCTCGTGCATAAGCATCACCTGGGGGCTCATAGCACAGGCCTCGGGGCCCCACCCATGTAGTCACTTACTATTCAGCAGCTCTGGGCCCAAGAACTGGCATTTCTTACCAGTTCCTGGCCGATGCTGAGCTGCTGGCCCACGGCCTGCACTTCGAGTGGCCCCATCCTGCACCCCAGGCCCCCGCTGTTTCTCTACACTTGGTCCTATGAACTGAGAGGGACAGAGGTGGTCCCACTGTGTGTGCCGGGCCTCTTCCTTCCTTCCCCGGGACTGTTGCATGGCGGCGGGATCAACGGGGATCAGCCCAGCTCTTTGTAAGCAGCTTCGGCTCCACCAGCCCCGCTCAGAGGCGGAGGGGCCTTAGCATGTGTTTCCCTCCGCTGTCCAGATGGAGCGAGTCTCCCGAGCAAGGCAGCGGCGGGATTGAGAGCAGAGGTTGCCTTCAGGTCCCAGGCTCCTTCCTCCTCGCCCGCCACAGCCCCAGTTCCTGCCTCCCTCCCTCCTTCCCTCCCACGTCCTATCTCTCTCTTTCCCCTTCCCCTACCTACTGTCTAGAGTGACAGCTAAGGGCCTGGGGGATCAACCAAAAAAATGCGTGTCATAGGTTCGCCATCACTGGTCTAGAGTGACAGAAGGGCCTGGTCAGAGGGAGCTGGGGGGAGCTGGGCAGGGCAGGAGGGCAGGAGTCCTCCAGGTCCGAGGACGGCTCTCCAGCCCCGCCCTGATGCCGGTTCCGTTGTCCCCAGGCTGGTGGTGGCGGTGGAGGAGGCCTTCATCCACATCCAGCGGCTCCAGGCCGAGGAGCAGCAGAAGGCCCCGGGGGAGGTGATGGACCCCAGGGAGGCCGCCCAGGCCATCTTCCCGTCCATGGCCCGGGCCCTGCAGAAGTACCTGCGCACCACTCGGCAGCAGCACTACCACAGCATGGAGAGCATCCTGCAGCACCTGGCCTTCTGCATCGCCCACAGCATGACCCCGAAGGTGTGACCGGGAGGGACCAAATCAGAGGCTTCTTCGAAGCACCACTGATGGGGATGAGTGAGACCCACCCGTTTTCTGGTCTTTGGGTGCAGCTGGTTTCTGGATGTGCCTCTGAAGGCCTCTAGAGTTGAGCAGAGGAACGACTTTCACATAGAGACAGTACAGGTAGTAGTGAGGGGTCCTCGGTGGGTTCCGGAGCCAAGAACCCATTCTCACCTGCTCTTCCACCAACGGCTGCAACATCTTAAGCCAACCGCTTAGCGGCTCTGTGCCTCAGTTTCCTGTTCTGCAAATTGGGGATAATACTGATATCCCCTTCACTGGGTTGTTGTGAGAAATAACGGAGTTCATTCGTGTGGCGAGCTCAGAACAGTGCCTTTGTGTGGTAAGAATGCAGTAAATGGCTATTATTATCAGAGGCAGGAATGAGGCCAGCCCTTTGTTAGGCGTTTCGGATGTTGCGGAGTTTGTGTTACTGAATGGTCTTTGAGATCATGATGTGAGCACACTTTTAGGAAACAGTCGTGTGGCTCATGGAGGGAGGTGGCCAGGGAGACAAGATGGAGTCAGGGTTTGGCAAACGACCTCTCTCCAGACAGACGTGGGTCAAGTCCCGGTCCCACCGCTCATTGGTTTGTGACTTCACGTAAGTTACTCTACACTCGTTTCCTCTTTTATGAACTGGGGGTGGTAACGGTACCCACCCGATAGGATTGTTGTGTGAGGATTATATTAAATGTGGCAGCGTGACACGGGGTAAGGGATCCTGGCCTAGAGCACACATGGGACACTCGGGAGCTGTTGGTATCGGCGTGAGGACCTGAGTTCCCACACTGTCCTGTACACACACGAACTACTGCTGGTTACATTCTCACTAACCAGTGACAACCTCAGGAAAGCAGATGTTCCGGGAAAGGACCATAGGTTTGCAGATTCTTTGACTCATCTAGAAAACATAGCACAATCACACGTATCCATGAATATACTAGTACATGCAGGTGATTTGCAAAGTCATCTGTACTAACTCCAAACAAAATGACTTAGAAGTAGAACAGCACTTATAGATTGTGGCATCTCCAACACCTGATGGACGTGGGCGACTCTCTGTTAGAATATTAGGCTCCAGAAGGGGGAATGCAGAGCAGTGAGGTCGGCGTGTCTCCGCGTGCACGGTGAGGCTGGGCCCCCACGGAAGCAGGCCTTTCGCTTCCTGTAGGATTTTGTAGTTTCCCACTTGCTTTCTTTTTCATTTCAAAAGTGTCTACTTTTATGAATTAGTAATTATAATAATTGTATAAAAGTCCGAACATTAAAGAATAGAATAATGTACAAAGTGAAGTTTTATTCCCCTAGGGCCGTGGTTGGCAAACCGCGGCTCTCGAGCCACATGCGGCTCTTTGGCCCCTTCAGTGTGGCTCTTCCACAAAATACCACGTGTGGGTGCGCACGTACAGTGCGATTGAAACTTCGTGGCTCATGTGCAGAAGTCGGTATTTTGTGGAAGAGCCACACTGAAGGG